AAGGAGAATTTGAAAGGACTAGAGCATTGTATGAGCGGCTTTTAAACCGCACAAAACATTTGAAAGTGTGGATTAGTTATGCTAAGTTTGAAGCTTCTGCTGTAGAAGGGGACTCCTCAGACCCTGAACAACAAGACGTCAGTCGCGAGCAAAAGGAAGAAGGCTTACACCGGGCTAGAGGTAAAACATTCTTATCTTCATAATAGAACATTCTTCTATCCATCCAAATAAAGAGTTTGTTTTAGACTTTTTGGCACTTTTTTCCTCTAAAAGATGTTCAGCTAATAATGTTAATTTTGTCATGTTAATATGCCTAAGAAATGTGTCATAGGCAGGCTACATATTTACGCAATACTTCCGTCCCCGAAAAATATTCATGTTTGTGTAAGAGGTACATCATTTTATTTCAGTTATCCCAACCAGACTCAAATTTCTAAAGGTGTTGGATGACCTATGAATGGCCCTTGTATCTTTAATAAAAAAAATTTAAAATTATTTTTAAAATTATTTTTAAACTTATTTTTAAATATATTTAGAGTAATTCACTAAACCTGCTTGCTTCTTGGTTTTAAAGGAATATACAAATGATAACTGACTTTTAAAATTACCCTTTTTTGGTAGAAAAAGAGGTATTTCAAGGATGGACTTTCTTTTTGGGATGGGGAGGAAAGATGTTTTTACTTGGAGTGTAATTTGCTTGTCTGGTTTGGTGTGTTTAAGTCTAGTCTGAATTGGTCTGGTTTGGTTTAGTAAATGTCTGGTCTCTGTGTATTTTACAACGGAAGTTTGGTCTGGTTTGGTTTGTTTAAATTTGGTTTGGTCTGGTTTGGTTTGTTTAAATCCGGTCTGGTTTGGTCTGGGACTGAAAACAGTCCAAGTATAAACATCCGAAGTAGGATAAATGTAGTTATAACTAATAAATATGTGAGAGTTGTGTCTTTCCAAAATGAAAGGATAAGCAATGGCTAAACATGACTTGTTTTTTTTGGGCAGTGTAGCATGATAAAATTATGGTAAGCAATGATTTAATGCACCATTTTCTTTTACACATTAGGTGTGTTTGAAAGAGCCTTAGCCTACTACAGAACTTCAGCTCCTGAATTAAAAGAGGAGAGGGCAATGCTTTTAGAAGAATGGCTCAACTTGGAAAGCAGTTTCGAGGATGTTGGTGATGTTGGGTTAGTGCGGTCTAAGATGCCCAAGAAACTCAAAAAGAGGCGCCAAATTGAGACAGAGGATGGCCCGGCAGGGTATGAGGAATACATAGACTACCTATTCCCTGAAGAGACACAGACCACAAACCTCAAAATTTTGGAAGCTGCATACAAGTGGAAAAAACAAAAGGTCTCTGATGACGATTGATAATCGATTGATGATGAGTTGGTTCTATAACTTGTACCTGGTCTCGCTCCTTGGGCTAAGTCCGACCTGCGTGGAGTATAAATAGCTGTAGTCGGAGGAGCTGCAGGTGATTGGTATGGTAGTATAAGTTATGGAGTTTATGGATATTGTATGGATCCTGAAAAACTGCCCGTTAGTGATGCAAAGACATGTACTGGGTGGGAAATTTTCAATTTTTCTTTCCTTGTTCTCTGGGGTTAATGGGTTATTTACTTAATTGCATCTGTTTATTCTAGAGTGACAAAGACAAATCTGTATGACAATGACAACTTCTGCTGGCTATTATAAACAGTATCACTTCAAAGAAATTAGCAGCCGGTTTCAGAAGTCTGTTTTTTGCATTAAAAAAGGGCTTTAACCGATTGTTGATCATGCTTTATGAATCCTTATTTGATGTTATTTTTTTTTATAAAACTAATAAAAACAAAAAACATATTGATGTAATTGTAAAAATTAGTTTTAAAAATGAGATGTTTGAGAATTCAAGAAATCAAAGAATGAAAAATTAGACACAAATGTATGTTAAACTATACACACTAACACACCCACTAATAATCTTTGCACTCTAACGCAACCAACTTCTCCACTATCCACACTGCAACCTATTGGAGGATCCATAAACTTAAAATGAAATTTAGACTAGAAGAAAAATAACGAATTGAATACTGCAAAAAACACATTATTAAAGTTACAATATTGGAAGTCCAAAATTAGTCAAAAACTAACGGAATTTACATTTTGATATTATTTCAATCACCAGAGTGAGGTCACAATTTCACACCGATCTAATTATTACATTCCTACATTCAACTAATGTATCGGAGCGTTTCTTAAAAGAGAAATGAATAAAGGACAAGATAAATGATTAAATGAATATTGTTGTAAAGAAAAAAGTTCAGCATGAAAAATGAATGATGAACGTGTGAATTCAAGAATTAGCATCTTTACTCTTTTAGAGAGAATGAGTATATTTTCGTATAAAATGAGTTCTCATCAAGACGAAATCTATACCAATTAATAATCCATACTTTTAGCAGTTCTACAATAATAATCCATACTGAAGATGTCTAAATAAATAACTCATACTCATAAACACGTGTACATAGATAGATTAGATTAATCTTATTGATATTTAATATATATAGATACAATATTGACTTTGTTCACCATTGTAATAAATTTGAGTTTAGTGTTTTATACATAGTATATCATAACTACGAGTTTAGATTATTTCTATAGACATTTTCACTAGAGATTATTATTGTAGAACCACTAAAAGTACGAATTATTGGTATGAATTTCACCTTTTAAAAAAAATTCAGGTATATATATTTAAGCTTGCTGACTGAAAATAATAATTTATAGGTTGCCAATACTGCCAAATATTATAATGTAGACAATTCAATGTATTTATTTTCTGTTTTCTCATTTTAAATAACTTCACTTTGAATACCAATAAAAACATGTCAAGCTTTCTTATATACGTAGTATACTTTTTATTGAAAAGTTGGAATCACCTAGCTACTGCAACACTCCACACCCGATCCGACAGAATAGGTGCAGATTAAATCTTGGTGATTTAGTTGAAATCAAAAGTTAGATTACTATCCGTTATGCATTAGGATTCCCTACAAATTAAGCACCTTATTTTATATTTCTAAGTGCAGAATGTTTTAAGCCATATGACTACAAATTACATACTCCCTCCGTCCCAAAATTAACTTCTCACTTTCCTTTCGGGCAGTCCCGAAATTAACTTCACACTTCAAAACTTTCCTTATTTGGCAAGTAATCTACATCAAAAAAGTGTCAAACAGTGTCCAAACAGTGTCAAACAGTGTTTAAATAGTGCAAAACAGTGCACTCCACAGTAAAGTCAAATTTATTTTCTTAATCTGTGTGAAGTCAAACTGAGAAGTTCATTATGGGAAGGAGGGAGTATGTGAAGAATGATGAGATAGAAATATAGAATAAAAGATGCTTGATGATTTTGACAGAATAATGATAGAAACTTTTCCTGTATAAATTGGACCCATGCTCCGTAATAGCCTCTGTTTGGCCTTGCTTGCCAACTAAGTAATATGGAGTAATAATAAATATTTTACTTGGAAATGAGATGAACAAGATTAACTTGATATAAGATCATACAACATTTCAATCGCCTTTCATTTAGTCATTTAGGAACAACTTATCTATCAAGGTAATAGATTAAGCCTTCCAAAAGCTTCACTTTCAAAGCCCTCAATCCAAACGGGCCCTAGAATTGTCAAAGCAATGGGTGTTAACTGTTAAGTATACACCAAATCCTCTCTTTTGGTCTCAGAAGTCAAAAGGAAAGTAATGCTGAAGTTCTTGACTTCTTGGCAACCGAACACTAATGGAAAGTTTAGTTTTTCTAGTGCCTATGATGTAATTAGACCTAAGAGGGCTACCAAGCCAAACGCTGATTTTATTTGGAATTCCAGAACTCCTAAGAAAATCTCTTTTTTTATTTGGCGGCTTGAAAACAGAATCCTCCCTTTTGAGAAAAACCTCAATCGACTTGGTATTTTTGGCCCCTTTAAATGCCCTATTTGCCCCCATGAGGATACTTTAGAGCATTATTTTCTTAATTGCCCTTTCAGTCAAAAGGTTTGGAACCATTTCGAAACTATTTTCAAATTCAGGCCGCCAAACAATCATAGCCATTGGAATTATGTGTTAGGGTGGTATAATAACTTCAAGGGGATAAAGGACCTAAACTATACCATTCCTAATACTATACTCTGGCAGCTGTGGAAAATTCGGAACAAAATTCTTTTTGATGAAAAAAGCCATATCTTACTGAGGCAATAAATACTATTAAGACTGAGCTTTTTGCTATGTCGGTTGTCAAACCTTTCCAGAACACTACCCATGATATCCCCTTCAACATATGGACTACTACACCGAATAAGATCACTAAACCTCCTAGTCTCCATTTCTGGAGAAAACCCCCGCCAACCTACTACAAAATCAACCTAGCCTCACGACACCTCAACCCTAAACTCATCCGCACGGCAGCACTGATTCGGGATGCTGACGGAAGATACTATGGGCATACAACTCAGCTGGCACCTCATGATAATGTTACAATTGCAGCTTATGACTCCATCAGTTGGCTCATCCCTAGGCTCAAGGCTCACAAGCTTATCAATATTGTGATTGAAGTTGACAACAAGGATGTCTATGAAGGTATTGCGGGAATCTCAATTCCACATTGGCAATATTGGCCGCGCATACGGAATATCAAGAAAAGGTTAACGACCCATAATTGGACAATCACGCACATACATCCGAAGATTAACAGAGCCTCAGAGTATTTAGCTTACCGAAATACTTCGGTAAAAACCAATAATCATCATTTTACTCACTTTGTTGGTATCCTTAAATTTGATGCAATTAGTTTCCCTTATGTACTTTAATTTTGAGTAGACTTTGGTTTTGCCCTCCTACTCTTTGTATTCTCTTTTTTCTCAATAAATAGGTGGGGTGTTCCCTGGCCCCCACCCCATAAAACCCTATGGGGTTTTTTGGATCATTACCGGGTCAAAAAAAAAAAAAAAAAAAAAAACAGTCAGTGTATGAAAGAGTATCATATCATAGAATTCAATATTCATACACTAAGCATATCAATATGGGTGTGTAATTTTACATCTTCAGGACAAAAGTTAAGAAGCTAGTCATCCAAGAATGCATACAGGGAGTAAGGAAATTTTCAAAAGATTAAACCAGATAAAACTACAGTCTAAACACCAAAACTTTTAAGAATCAATCTATTCAATCAGACTCCAAACCAATGCTTTGATTCATAATGCTCATCTGCTTAGCTTCTAATGGACATCGGGAAACAACCTTTTGGAAAATCACGCCTTGCAGATACCTTCCCACCATATATCATTGATGGCTGAGGATCTTCTTGCAACTCTTCCCCTTCTTCCTGTGCTTCTTCCTCTGAAGGATCATAGTCACTCTCATCCTCACTGTTCACAGGATTATTAGGGTAAGCAGATGATTTATGAACCCCCTTGAGAAGATTGCGGATTGAGGATATTTTTAGTCTCTTAGCATCATTACAATCTGACTCATATTCTGGGGGATTAAATTCTTCTTCGCAATCATCACCAACACTAAAAGGACTGGGATTAGCAGCAAAACTAACAGATTTCACAGCGATTTTGTTAAATTCTTCTGCAGGTTCATACTCTACCTCAATCATCTCATCCTCTCTGTTCACAAGAACGTCAACATCAGTCTTATTTCTCCTCCAAAAATAAGGCTCAAATTCATCGAAGTCTTTTCGAAGATCTGTCTCAAGTGCAACAGATTTAGCTGCATTAGATTCATCGAATTGCTCTGTTTCTTCTTCCGAAGGGTCATAATCGCTGTCATATTCTTCAACGGGGAGACTGGGCTTTCCAGGAAAGTCGCGCCTGGCGGAAACCTTGCTGCAATTAGGGTTAGAGTAATGAAGAGTGGGAAAATCATCAAGATTTCCCCGAATCCGTTTAACGCCACAAATACCATCCATTGAAGAACCCTCTAATAATTGAATATAGAAGTGTTATGACGAATGCAGAGAAGGCTCGTTGAGAAATTACTAAACTCATGAATGGCTGAAAGAATGAATTGAAGTACTCCGTATGATTGTATGAATGAATGAATTGATAGTACCGTAAAATACATGGTGCAGCCGGCTGTACCGTGCGCACGGTACAGCCGGACTTAATTGGATCTGCGCTTCTTCAATCTGCACGGCTCACCAGGTTTCTACGCTCCAACATCGCACAAAGCTTCGCTCCAGACTTCTTCGATTTCGTTTTCTTCTTCAATCCGACTTCGCATCAGGCTCACCGTCATCGCTGTTCATCCCCTTCTCCTTCAGTTCGCTGCTTGTGGCCGCCTCTCACCAGTCACCTCTTCTCCTCCGGCACAAACGCAGCGGCAGCGACTTCGGCTCCGGCTCCTGCATAATTACCTCTCCTCCGCCTTTCTTTCCTCTCTTTCTTTTTCTCTATATATCTAACGTAGTTTTGCTATTTGAACTTTTGATTTTGGGAAATAAAGGGAGTCTAATTCATTGTTGAGGAATCATTGCAGCTATTGATCTCAAATGAGTTTTATATCAAACTCAAATGAGTATACACCTAAAAGAAATGAACTCACACAAATTAATATTGAACACATTGAAAATGAGTTTTTGTTAAACGAAAATGAGTATAGCGCCCAAAATGAATGAGCATACACAAAATGAGCTTCTGAACATTTTTATACTCATTTTGTATGTTATGTATACTCATTTGGTATTAGTGCAATACTCATTTTAAAATGTCATATTCATACATATTTCGAAATGAGTTATATGTTAAACTCAAATGAGTATTGTGCCCAAAATGAATGAATACACAAAAATGAGTTTTTAATATTTTGATACTCATTTTGTAAATTATGTGTGCTCATTTGGTATTGTTTTATGATCATTTTAAAATGGATGCACATATCAAATATAACGCCCAAAATCAATGAGCATACACAAATAAAGTTTTGAATTTTTTATGCTCATTTTATAAATAGTGTATGCTCATTTGGTACTACTTTATGCTCATTTTAAAATGATGCACATATCAAACATATCATACTACATTAGATTCACATATTGAAATTAATTATAAACATAATTTAAGAATTTTTTATAAATGAAAAAATAATAAAAAGAAACCGAAATAGAAAATATGAAGCAGAGATCACTGGTGCTCATTGTTAGGCTCATAATACTCAGAAGAACATGCTCGATAATCATCAAAATTACATCAATGCTCATTTACGAGAAACCACGAACTTCATCAAAATTACAAAATTGCCACCGGCTGTACGGTGCCAGCCGTACAGCCGGCTGTATGGTATACGCTTCCTGATAGTACTATACTACTCTAGGTTAAACGAGCATGCCAAAATTGACTTATAATCCGTAATAAACGTAAATACAAAAAATGACTTTTAAAATTAATTCCAATAATGTGATTAGTTGTTATCACTTCATCAGGTGGGCTTAGAATAAACAAACTACCATACATTATTTATACACAATGTCTACACTGTCTTTGTATACAACTAATTGGAAGATAAATGTGTCTTTTTCTTAAAGAATTTTCTGTATACACAGACAATTAGGGGATGTGTATAAAAAGTGTACCAATTTGGGCAGCTCCTGACTGATCTTTACCTTTTGAGATTATGTGTGATGCGACGGGTTAGGAGTGGCGTATCCACAAGATGGTTGAGCATAGACAGAAGATAGAGTATTACATGCTTCTTGGGTGGTTTTGGCACGCGTGATGAGAGAGACCACACGAGAATTGAGAGTACCAATAATAGCACCAAAAAGAAGTTTATATTGCCATATAGTTAAACCAAAGTATAGTAGTATTTAACTATACTTTGGTTTATTGCCAAAGTTATAAACCAAAATTTGACAATCCTTTAATCCTAAACTAGCTATAACCAAAGTTATTCCCAGTGAAACTACGAGAATTTAAGTTTTCTCAAAGTTAAAACTAACAAAATCTGCAAGTATCAATTTGTCAATTGAATCGACAATGAGCTAGTAACCATCCACTGATTGTCAAACACTCTGTTGATATTTTTAGTCCTCTAATTATCATGAAAACTAAAAATGTTAATTTCACAATACTCAGGTGACTAAATGTCAGGAGATTTAAAGTCGATGATAAAAGTGTCTCATTCATATCAAATATATAAATTTGTCACCAAAACTTTTTTATACCAATTTGTTGTTGAAGCTTCTTTTTTACCAATATGTTGCCGACTCGTTGGAGTTTTTTAAACCAATTGAGTGAACATTTTTTTTACTAATTTGGCCAAATAGTTTGTAAGAAACACTCCGTATTTACTATTTATTATTCCGCATTACCTTTTTTCGACAATTTTCTAATCTATTATAGTATATGTTACCGGAGTATATATTAAGATCAATATTCTTGAACTGCGATGAGATTCAAATATATGACCTCCTTGGAAGTGTCACGGTGATATCATACTACAACTTACTTAGCCTGTATTACTTTGTTAGTGTCACGGTGATATCATACTACAACTTACTTAGCCTGTATTACTTTGTTGGCAAACAAGGCCAACTAAATAAGTGAAAATTCAGTTTCCCAAGTTAAAATATTAGGAAACGTGAATGCGTGATATGATATCCACTAAGAAAGAGCAACTTTAGAGTATAGGCCCTTCGAAAAAAGATTCAGAGTATAGGTTTTACTTGGAGGTGTTGTTTGTTTTTAATGAAAAGATGTTCATACTATTATTCTAAGTGATGTAATAAAAATAAAGTGTAAAGAAAAAATTCACGTGAATAAATTATTCAGAGTCATGTTTGTTTTTCTGCAACTAGTTTTGTTCCCATTCGTTCACTTATTCCCAAAAGGTTCCTCTCATACTCTTCCAACCCGTCAACTGCATCTGGAGGCAAAAAGAAATAGAATACCAGAAGAAAAGGAGAGAAGGGAGGAACTCAAGGAGGGAAAGTGAGAAATAAAATAGGGAAGAATAGAAAATAAAATAGGGAAAAATTTGATGCAGCCACGATGGAGAAGTATTCCCAACACCATGCATTTTTCACCGGGTGTTAGCCGTGTTGGTCGGAAAATCGCGGGAGAAGACAACCGGAGTAATGGTCAATCCGTCATATGTTTTGCTATGTTTTCTACCGTCTTCCAACCGGAGCGGAAAGCTGGAATGGAGATCTCCATGTCTAGTAAAAAAAAGAAAGTACTACATTTTATTCATTGATGTTTTAAGATATTTTTTTGAAAAAAAATATTACTAAATTTGTCTTATTGTATATTTTCAAAATCCGTTTTTTTTTACTTTTATTTTACTAATAGAGAGTTATATATATTAATGGTCAAAGTTGTACATCGACAAATGTGAAATGTTGACCATTGCACTTATTTAAGAACAGAGGAAGTAAATGAAAAAGGGTAAAAACATGATGATTTAGAGAGGGATGGTGAGGAGTGAGGACTGAGGATCAATGAATAAAGTCGACAGAGTTGGCCAAAATGAACCCATGGACTTCCCCTTTTCATTTTATTGTTTTTACCCGTTGAGTAAGTTGCAGGTCATCTGGATCAATTTGGGAAGATGCCTTAATAAGTTGGGATTATTTTTGAATTACTTATATTTGGGATTAATATTGGAAGACTGCTGAGTTAGGATTATTAATATGAATTTTTCCAATTGTAAATGATGTAGAAAAAGTGTAAACAGTAACAAGGAAAGATGAAAATGCTAATAATAATAAAGGATATAAATGAAAAAATGTGAGGAAATTTATGGGTATGTAAATGAAAATTAGGGATGTGCGTACCTAGTGGCTATGTTGTACGGATACGGATACGCTGATATGTGAATACGGGTATGACGATATGGCAATTTCAAAAATTATAGGATACGGGTACGAGGTATATTTATAGATAATAAAAATATAGGGTATAATTTGCAAATATATATAATTCTGGGGTTCATAAGTAAAATAATAATAGCAAAAAAAATTAATCATCATAATAAAATTTCAAAAATTAGGCTAAAAAACTAGAGTATTGATATTTTGATTTAAATTCAAATAATATTTTTTGTTTCATCCAAAAAAAATATTTTTTGTTCTCTATTTGCATATACATCTAAGAAGTTGTTCTCTTCGTCTTATTCTTATTACTTATTGCTTATTCTTATTTTACACAGATCAGATCAGATCAGGTCAGATAAAAAAATTCAGATCAGATCACATCAGATCAGAAAGATTCAGATAAGATTAGAAGATTCAGATCAGAAAGATTCAGATCAGACCAGTTCAGCAACATTCAGATCAGATCAAAACATTCAGATCAGATCAGAAAATTTCAATCTTGATTTATCACTTTATTATTAGTGTTATAATAATAATAATAATAATAATGATGATGATGATAATAATAATAATAATAATAATTATTATTATTATTATTACTATTACTATTATTATTACTATTGTTATTATTGTTGTTATTATTATTATTATATTGTAATTATTATTGCTAATGAAATTAATATTACTACTATTACGAAGTACGTAGTATTAGTATTGTTATTATTATTACTATAATAATAATAATAATAATAATAATTAGTATTAGTATTATTATTACTATTATTATTATTATACAGAGTATGAAAAAACTAAAATCATAATTATAATTATAAATGTATTTTAAATTATAATTGAAATTATAATAACAATAATAATTATAATTACTATTATAATTACATCTATAATTACAATTACAATTATAATTTTAATTACATTGCAATTATATTTATATAATTATAATTGTAGTTATAATTATAATTGTAATTATAATTGTAAGTATAAATATAATTACAATTATAATTATATAAATAACTATAATTAAAAATATAATTACAATTATAATCATATCTATAGTGTAATAGGTATAAATATTATAGGATTAAATATAATTATAATTATTATAATTATATTTAAAAAAATAATGATTATAATTATAATTTTATTTAAATTATACGAAGTATTTGTGATTATAATTATAATTATAATTATATATGTAAAAATATTCAAATCAGACCAGATCAGAAATATTCATATCAGAAGGATTCATATCAGATCAGATCAGATCAGAAATGATTCAGATCAGATCAGAAAAATTCAGATCAGATCAGATTAGAACTTAAAAAATTCAAATCAGAAACATTCAGATCAGGTGAAGAGAACCGCTTCTAAGTCTTGTTTCAATTAAAGCTGATGAAGCGATAAAATGACAAATTATAGTATTCTATTGTTTTACATACTCCCGAAATCATCTTTATCAATGTTGGGCGGCTACTAAATTTTCGTCATGTCGTATGAAACTGGGGTTATAGGATCAGATACTCGTATCCGTTCACGGATATGGGTATTGGAAGTATTGGTATTTCTAAAAATAAGCCCAATATTTTTATTAAATTACGGATACGGATCCAATACGTACAGGACACGTATCGGCGAGTATCAGTATCGAATACGTATCGGAAACGCGGATACAGCATCGGGGTGAAATATCGATGCACCATAGCCGCCTAGTGGTACATGTAATAAAGTATTTTCATAAGAATAAGAAGTGTGTGTGTGTGTGTGAGAGAGAGAGAGAGAGAGAGAGAGAGGGGTTAATAAATAGGGATGGGGTGCTACTCTTCTGTCTATTTTGGATATTTTTGGATATTTTCAAGGTTTTTTATTTAGAGTCCATTAGGTAACACTGGAATTTAGCTGAATTAGTAAATTTTGTTGAAATTTATGAAACTTTGGTTGAAGTGGTTGGATTGACTTATTTTGTTGATAAGTCAACAAATAAAAGTTGCTTTATTTTATTAATAAAGCAAATAAAAAATTATACAAAAAACAGCTTATATTGTCGTCTACAATAACTTCAGCCATTTCAACACATCAAAACAAAAATTGTGCGTTTGGTAAAAAGGTTGAACGATAAAGGTGACAAGCAAAAAACAGGTCACCGTATGGCCTCTTATTATGTTGGAAGTTGGAATTGAAGTATTGAACTACTAATAATGAATCAACCATAGTTCGAATTATTATAAATAGATATCATTTTTAACCATGACAGTAGGAGATCGATCATGAGGGACCATTATTGATAAATGACCTCTATAGTTGGTGTGATTCGGAATAATCGATAATTGAGATTATTAAAAATGGGTCGTAATTTGTATATTACGAGGCCGTTTGGTAACACTGAAATTGGCCGAATCAGTTAGATTTAAAATAATATTTATTAATAAAATAAAGAAAAATTATATGAGAAATAGTTAAAATGATCTTCTACGGTAAATTCAGCCAATACAACCAGAAACGTAACTCCAACTTGACCTTTTCTTATTATTACATAACTCGGTGTGCGAAATCAAAAATTACGTGTTTAATGAAAAAGTTGGCCGATAAGTCTGATAAGCCAAAAAAACAGGGTCAACAAACGGACTCTACATTATTACGGAGTACTATGTATTGTTGTTGTTATTATTATTATTATTATTATTATTATTATTATGATTACTCCCTCCGTCCCAATTTGTAAGATACTTACTGTTTACGATGTTTGATCGACGATAAAGCAAATTGATCTCTGTCAACACTCAAATTAGTTTTAGAAAATAAAATTTACATATTCAAAAACTACATTAAAACCGCTACAAAGTTTGCAAAAAAACCATTCCAATTTCCTAAGCTTTTGATATAAAAAGCAAAAGATTAAGAGTGATTTATGTTGATCAAATGAATAGTAAATGTATCTTACAAATTGGGACTGAGGGATTATTATTATTATTATTATTATTATTATTATTATTATTATTATTATTATTATTATTATTATTATTATTATTAGGGGTTTGTGAAGCATCTAGAGAACCTCTACCTAAATCAATCAAATAGGCAAACAATGAATTAAGAAAAATAATTGTAATTTGATTTAGGTGAAAGTTGATGTTGGGAAAAGAATGCGCGGGGTAATTAATTAATACAAGTACTTGTAGGTTTGATGGAGTTTGTTATTTGGCATTGTAAATTTGTAATGCTGCGAGGAAGGGGAATTAGCAAACACTAGTAATGCTTAGGGAAAGGGGAATTAGCAAACACTAGTATCTATTAATCCCACCCCGTAAATAAAGAAGAGCACCAGGCGAGACGGAGCTTATAAAAGCTCAACTAGGCACAACATAATACATACTTACCTGGACGGGGTCAATGGGTGATCAAGAAGGTCTATGACCTAGGTTGATAACTTTCATTGCACTTTGAAAGAGTGTCATTCTAAGATCTACCCAAACGGTGGAATCTACGTCATAATTTGTGGTAGTTGGGGTCTCCGTTCGCGCGGGCCCCTACCCAATTACTAGTCCAATTTTTTAATTTTGAACCTTATGGGGTGTTCTTTTAGAGAGTATTTAATTGAGACATTTAAAACATTTGGAGAGTTGGAAAAAGCATTGGTGTATTTAAAAGTTCATCGAAATTTGGATTGGATTTCACAACCAAAATGGAAATTTTATTATCAAATCTCGTGTACTACGTATATACATAGTACTTTAGATTTTTGAGACATGTCAATTGTCAAGAACTGCACTTCAACCATGATATTTCCTCTCCTCCCTATCGCAGTCCTGCTCTTCTTCCCGTCTCACCTCTTGCTATGCACATTTGAAGCATCGTTGTGGGGCTTCTCATCCAGAGTTCCACGGGTCAGACCACCTCCGGGTTCGTTGCCAATTACTCGGACGATTCCCTGAAGACCGGTCGGCGAATCCCGAGTCTATCTGCCATATCTCAAAACTTCATTGACGAATCCCTGTTGCAGCCTACAAAACTCCAACCAGAATCCTAGTATATGTGCTATTGTGCATTGGTCGAACTCTGGTCCCTATCTCGTGATTTGGGGAAAGAAACTGCCTAGTCATACATTAGGAAACTATCCCTCTTTTACTCATACGTGTGTTAATTTTCTCATATATATACATGGGTGTGTTTAGGTCTAGACCCTCGGAGTTTTCAACATATGCATGTAAAAAAGCAACTAACTATAAGCTGCCTTGCTCAGACTAAACCGAGCGATTTTTAACACATAAACATGGCAAAAGTATACAGTAAAAATTGATAATAATAAATTCATCTTGTAGCGCTCTTCTCAAAATAATCTCAGCTAAAAAAAAATTCATAATAATCTAATCTTAGTGCCCAAAAGTAGAAAAAACTAAAAAAGAATACCATTTTCACTTGAATTGACCATAACTCATGAAATGATTCGTTTGTTTACACAAAGATGTATGAATAAAATGTGATTGACAAATTGCTGGTATTTTAAAACAAACCAATAAATTACAGAAACACCAAACAGTCAAACAAACGAAAAACCTTTTTCTTGGACAAACAGTTAACTACCTAGAACAACAAGAATAAGCCTTGTTCTTGTTCTGCTTCAATCCATCATCATCATATCCATTACTATTATTATGACCAAGGCTGACTCTATTGACAGATAACTCTGCTTTATACGAATCAGAGTTCAAAACCTTTCTGCTAACATTGTTATATATCTCGCGGATAACAATCTCAAAAGCCTGTTTTACGTTTGTGGAATCTAACGCGGACGTCTCCATAAAGAACATCCCTTCAGCTTCTGCAATGCTTCTCCCCTCCTCAACACTTACAGCCCTTATGTTGTTCAGGTCACATTTATTGCCCACTAGCATCCTCGCAACAGTTGTATCAGAATGAGCTGCATCGCCATTTGGTTTTTAAGTCAAGGATCAAGTTGACCAGAAAAGTGTGAATGAGAAAAAGCATAGGGAGAAACCAGGATATGAAATGATTGGGAACTCAACTCCACTGCACACTTGAAGTGTGTGTGGAGGGAGATGAGCTAAAGGCACATGGGCAGTCACTTTGTAATTTTCTCTGTCTCCCACTATATGGACACTCTTAAGGGGGGATTGTGAGGACAATAGAGATAAATTTTGAAGGAAAGAAAAATTTGATGAAGAATAAATCCAACTGGTTCAAAACTCATAAATCTATTTTAGATGAGTGTTCTATCTAGTTTGGTTTATACAATTCTAAATTGTAAGGACTTGAAAAACCAAAGTTCTAAATTAAAAAGATCTAGCGTGAACTGATTTCCTTCATATTTTCAAGGTAAAATCAAACATAATGACCATATGTTTTTATTTGTTGTAGATACATATTCTAATGTAAATGGTCTTATGAATCTCTAGGCATATGTTGTTTACTCCCAAACACTTATTTTTACTATTCTAATTGTTCCTAATGCTGCAATTTCAACTGCCCCAATTCACCACCATCACTTTAAACCGTCCCACCTCACACCTCTGCAGTTCGCTACAAGAATAAATCTTATACAGGAGATGAAAATTGGAAAGTCCTGTGCATTTTCATATGAGAAATGAAAAACAGACAAAAGGCCTTTCTAGGGAAACATGTTATAAATGTGATTTTCAATAAAAAGAGCCATCAAGAGTACGGTACTTGGGTGCTCAAAATGTCAACTTTAAGAGTTTTTTAATACACTTATACACAGTACTATTTTTATTTAACCTTTTATGAACTAATATGTCCGACATTTACAAATACTTTCAATGCATCTACAGAACTCCAGACTAGCTTTTGTGGACTTTTTTATACTTATTAAATTATGGAGTTTAATTTACTGTATGATTTTCTTTTCCAAGATTTTATAATTCAGTAAACTTTAACAATATACTCGAGAGTAGCTGACTTTATCCATTTCAGAAAATATCATTCTCCTACTTCTTTGTAATACGGAGTATTATTTTTAGCAAGAAATCAGGACTTTTACAAAAATTATCAAATATCATTATAGCAATCAAATTTACTTTTTATTACATGTACTCGAAAAAAGCCTGACCTTTGCACCATAATTATACAGTACTGAGTATTAGTTACACTTGCAAAGAGACAAATATTTTCCTACAATAGTCTTTTATTTTATTTTTGCAGTGCTGGGTATGGATGCAAAGAGAGTGACATTTTCCAGTCCTTCCATGGATTTAATAAATCCAAACTACAGATTAAAATTTTCAATATTGATTATTGGCTGTTTCATTGCCAGTTCTTTGGCATATAGGTTTATCGATAAGATTTTTACCGGACACTGTTTCTTTTATAATCACATTGACTTGTTTAATGCTGAAAAAAAAAACAGGTCCAGATTACTGAGGAATAAGGCTAGGAATAATTGTGCTAAAGTTGCATGTTCAAGATAACCATTTTAGCCCTTTTGAATATCGTTATTATCAATTAAATTTATTTTAAATATGTTATCATAATTCAGTCATACTTATTTGTCAATTTCAAGAAAGATTTATTTATTTCATCCTTTGAAGCCTTAGCATTTCAGGGTAAATCCAAAACCTACCCATATTTCCATTGCTAATTCACAAACAAATGTACATAATATATCACCCTAAAATCCATACTACTTATTAATGAACAAAAAAAGAAAAACAGGCATATGACTATATCATTGGTAGATCACTAGTAGTTCCAAGATGGTTTTTTTGCCAGAAAAGAACCATAAATGAGACAAAATATTAGGAAAAACAAAAAAATAATAATAAACAGAGTGGAAAAGGAGAGGATTTATTACTGTTAAGTTCTTCGAGCCAGCGAGGAATACTATCGAAGGTGGTGCGGCGGGCAATATCGTAAACGACGAGCACGCCAAAGGCGCCGCGGTAGTAGGCGGAGATGACCGCCCGGAACCGCTCCTGGCCGGCGGTGTCCCAAATCTGGGCCTTGACCTCCTTCCCGTCGATATGAAGGGTCTGGGTCTGGAACTCAACGCCGATGGTGGTCTTGGAGTGCATATTGAACTCGTTCCTGGCATAGCGGGAGAGGAGGTTGGTCTTCCCCACCGCAGAGTCGCCGATGATGACTATCTTGAAGAGGTACTCCTCCGCGCCCTCTCCGTCGTCGGAATAACCCATCCCTCCGTCGAGTGAATAGCTGGTACAGGAAATTGATCAGATCGATCTAGCTGGGCTGGCTTCTTATATGGTACGGAGTAATGTGAAAACGGCGGTGCGGTGAACGGTGGAGGAGGCATTGAATGAAATTGACCCAAATGCTGAGTACAAGGTCAATGTTACTTCCTTGTCCGTTTTACGTAAGTACCAATTAGTCAAAGTAGTAAGAATGTTTTCATTCCATACTTCCGAGTAGTTTTTTAATGACGCCTAATTCTCTCAATTAGACTAAATTCAAATAAATCAAATCAGACTAAGCTCAAACTGAATATATCAGATCATAAGGCTGTCACAGTTAAAAAATACATAAAGTGATAAAGATTAGGCATTTATCAGATCACAATCCATCGAACCAACAAATTTCATTACAACTAATGGTCGATTTGTTCTATTGTGACAGATGTGTGGTCTGTGGTTTGAGATAGAATCCATAAAAACATCTTAATAATTACATGCAATTCTTTATATACATGCTTCTATAAACATTTTGTATATTTCAATTGAGTCACAAATAATTTGTATCAATTTTTCAAACTTACAAAAAAGTGTTGAGAACGTGTACGGAACATTAAGTTTTCATTATTTAGAGGAATTTTCTAAGACATGAATATCAACGATTTGTAAGATTGAAAGCATGACGTAAGGTTTCAATCACTTAAAACTGTCACTTTAGGATCATAGAAACCTAAAAAAAATTGGAATGCTAGAGCAAATATTTGAGTAATTAATGGATATTTATGTGACTTACCAATTTTTTTCTACAATTATGGAGCTTATGTATGTGTTAATTATTCTACTTGTACATTTTTATGATCAAGTCTATGTAAGGGGAGGAAGATCATGTTGGTAATTGAGTTATTCTTATATTTTAGGACAAGTTCATTAATTGTCGGACAATGATGGAATGACCAAGACGTAGCACATACATGTCACTATTAGTATCTAATTTATTTACTATATTAACTCGGGTGTCACTATTAGTATCTAATTTATTTACTATATTAACTCGGGATTGCAAGATAATATCGTGGGAGAGTAGTGTCAAACTGTTTTATGGAGACAACATTGAATGGTTATATTTGATTTTACTATTTCAAATAGCAAGATCATCATGTATATGATACACCTTCAATCATATATTCAATTAGACTCATACGAGATTATCTATAATATACATACATTTCTTATCATTTCTTCCATTCTTACACATCACATAAATCATTTATTTATATTAGTAGTTCAGTATATGCAAATCACGTTTGTAATTTAGCTTAAGAAAAATAATTTAAACACTAAGTACGTTATTTTTGACCATTTTGATATTAGTAAACTTGTTAGAAAACTATGCAGAGAAAAGTTTGAAAGAGATGTAAAAATAAAAAAATTAAAGAAATTAACGTTGTGATATTCTAATACTTTGATAGTTTTCTACTGCTCAAGTAAATACTCCCTCCGTCCCTAAATAAACTTCCATTTCGCTTTTCGAGAGTCAACTTAAATCACACTTAAACTCTTACTTTATATATCAAAAATTTATAAAAATTGAATTATTTTTTGCAGGCTTTGTAGCGGGTTTAATGTAGTTTCTGAATATGTAAATTTTATTTACTAAAAATAATCCGAATTTTCACAGGGATCATTTAACTTTATCGTTGGTCAAACTTCGTAACCCGTAATTGGAAGTTTTATTAGGGACGGAGGTAGTAATAAAATTGTAAGAAGAAAAAAGACCAACCCAAAAACGTGACACGGAATTTGCAATTGAAATATTGGGTATCCAACCCCCAGCTCCCACCTTTCCAACTCCCACGCCGGTGGTCCCGGTAATGCTCCCCCGGAGGAACCATTATTATTATTTTATTAATGAAAAGTGATAAAAACGTGCCGAGCTAGCTTGTCTATGCATGTGTGGACGGAAATGTTTGTTGGGTGTGAGACTCTAAAGGGTTTGGTTAAGGTTGTGGTCAATTTGAGGCAATATTTTGAGTGGATCCACTTTCGATTTGGGTCGGGTCAAAGTGGTTTTGGATTGACCTTGTTAAGAGCTAGAATTCGATACGTGGTACACTCAAAACGGATAACGGGTGAATGAGAAATTGATTCTCGAAATTCACTCATTCAAATGGAGAAAATGGGAAAATGGTGGGTTTCTAGTGTGTTACTTCCCCCACCGGAAAACCCAAGAGATTTTCAACCCCTTATAAAGGAAACCCTCTTTGAAGGAGATAAGATTCGTAAGTGGAAATGTTCAATTTGCGCGCAGGGGGTGCGAATCAAATCCCGAAAACAGAGAGGAAAACCCGCGACTTGCGTGTGCGGGTGACCAGCGTGCCGTCCAAAAATCTATCTTCTAGAGATAAGATTTATTTTTTGCTTCTTCCCATAACTTTTTTATTTTGCTCCAGGTGCAGCCCCGTTAGGAGGAGTCTGCTTTGGACGAATCAATGCCAATGTGTTGGATTTTGATGTCCAACGTTCATGTCCATTAAAATGTCATTAACACATAACAAATCTTCCTTATAAATGGCTGGCAGGTGATTTAGACATGTTCATACATGAACTGCACGTTTTCCTTAGCTAAAAAACACCCCCAGCTTTCTCTGAAAAATTCCTTTTGTGTTCTTGCTTGTTCACGTTCGATGGAACAATTTCGTTTGAGTGCTCAACAATTGTTCGTAGTCATCGTATCTCGGGAAACGATCGGTGCAATGCTCCTAGCAGCTAGGCAGACAACAAATACGTTTTAAGGACATCGTGCGTAGCACGAGCTTTGGCTAATTTCTGCTCCATCTCTTTTTTGTTTTTCTTTAGTCATCTTAATTAATTTTAGTTGATTAATTTTCTTTATTTCCTGAGACACACCCAACATACTTTAAAAAAAAAAAGCAAAAGCGTAGAAGTTGAGATAACAAATACGTAGTGTAAACACACAAAATTATCTAATGTGATACATTTTTATGATCGCAAAATGTGTATACCCAAAATTATGGGATTTGATCATAAAAGTTAATGATACATTTATTAGACATAATGTGACTGTTATGACATTTTTAATGTTTTAATATGGTCATTAATGTAATAGAGAAGAAAGTTAATTAGGTTGACCAATCTTTATGACGAGTCATCGAGACGTAACATATACATGTCATTATTAGCATTTATTGGCTATATTAATTCAGGATTGCGAGATAAATGAGTGCCAGACTGTTTTATGAAGATAGCAATGTAGTAGACGGTTATGCTCTGACTCCATCGGAGGAGTCAGAAGTGACAAAACAGACAAGATGCATTAATTTTCACTCTATTAAACAACATTAGCACCCAATGTAAACACACAAGCATTCTCACTCGCTCACACCCTGAAACAATGTATGTGTCATCGGGCAACACTCAGAAATACATCTAAATTTATCAAATATATTATATTTTAATCGCTATTCATTTGATTCTTCACTATTTCTTTGATCCTTGCACGTTACCCAACTGATTTGTCCTTTACGAACGTTCAAATCGTGTTTATATAGTTTAACTTACGAAAAATAGCTTAAAGAATTTGGTGCCGTTTGTGGGACCCTTGCAAGAAAATTACCATCCATGGAAGATCATAGCTCAGCGTTAATGGCAGAATTCAAGAAACAAACGATAAGTTCTACTCTAATTGGGAAAGCTTATGGAAATCGCCACAAAGGGGCGATAGTGCACATTCATTGTGATTTCAAAGCCTCAAATTTTGAAGTTGAATATGAAGAACTCACTACGAGTCTCACCGTTGCCAAGAATCTAGGGGTGAAATTGCTTCTGGTAAGTATCGATTCTTTGTTTATTGTGAATCAAACTAACGGTGTATATGCAGTGAATGATCCAAAAATGACGATTCATTTGGACGTCGTCATAACATTGACGAGTTGTTTAGTCGAATGCACAATCTGACAAGTTCAAAGAGATGAAAACGTTTCGATCAATTCTTTGGCATTCGTAGGCTCGTACTCAGGTTTCAAGCTATATGGAAACATCACTTGAGAAAACACCAACAGACAAATCCAATACAATGACGTTTTGTTCGAAAGATAAAAAACGTGACCATATCAAAATTGTCTTTCACCCGACAAAGAAAAACGGAGTTCTTCAAAAATTTCATGATGAGAGGCACGTGTATTAGACTCTTCAAAGATATATGGCCACAAATCTGAAAATCCCTATTCAAGACCTGAGGAACCAGCCATCAGACCATGACAGAATGGACGGGGCAAGATGATTCAAATCGTCTGACGGAAACATATTGCTATGAAGTTCAAGACGGCGGACAAGTTCTGAGAAGCCAAAATGTAGTAAATTTAAATTTGTTTCATTCTTAATTTACTAGAGTACTTTTCTTTACATAAAACAATCACTAACTTAAGCATCAAAGAACCGTTAGCGAATGGCCATCCTCCACAAATTCTTTTTGCATAAGAATAGTCAACAACGACAATGACAGTGTTCTAACACACGTCAAACAATGTCGTACAGAAACATAAAAACATAAATGACGGGTCTTGCACAATTATAAGCCTTACATAAACGTCAACACATAAATGACGGGGCTTACGCAAACCTTATTGAAACGTCAAAACATAAATGACAGGGCTTACAAGAGAATAAGTGGATTTTCACCTCTTATACTATGAGTGCAAGCACATAACAACCGAATCTCTACAATGTTTTGGCCAAAACTATACAACAGAAACAATACA